TTTTTTTATTTTAGGGAACTTAATTTAATTTAATTTTACTTTACTTTAAGTGAAACAACATGCAAAATGTATATGCATTTAATATTTAAATATTAAAACATTTAAAAGGATAGTTCACCCAAAAAAAATTATATTCTGTCATCATTTACTCACAATCATGTTGTTCCAAACCAGTATGTATTTGTTTTTAATTCTGAGTACACAGATGAAGATATTCAGATTTATTTTTTTTTGTTCCATATAATGAAAGTCAGTGGGATGTTATTTTGGAATCCACTGACTTTCAATGTAAGGAAAAAAACGGTTGAAACATTCTTCAAAATATCTTCTTTTGCATCCCACAGAAGAAAGTCAATCAATACAGGTTTGGAACGACAGAGTAAATGATGACAGAATTGTCATTTTTAGGTGAACTATCCCTTAAAATTGAATTTTTTTTCAGAGTTATATTTTGTCTTTCTTTGTTTGCAGTATTTTAAATGGCAGAATGATAAAAGAAGTGATTGATCACTCCAAGCTTGATCCGCTGCTTCCTGAAGATGTGATTGCACCACTGGAACAGCAGTTTTTGATCATAGAAGAGGTTTGATGCTTTATGATGCCTTTAAATGTTATTAAAACACGGCTCTATTTTCTCTTTCACTTTAAGGCAAGACACTACAGGTGAACAGGGTAATGTGAGTTTTTAATAATAGATACTTCCCCAGTTAATTAATTGCATTATGACATTACATTTTGTTTTACAGTTTTCTGTAATGTTATGCGTATATATGCAAATTAGGCATTTTGAATTAAAACATGCATAGGTCTACATCTGCACAACAGAAATCTGAACATTGGATGAAGCCATGGTTCAAGATTCTTATTTCATTTTGTTAACATACTAGAATAAAAGGTTTTTAGGATCTCTTTTTATCGCTCAGTGAATCAGAAAAATCTGTCAACAGCCCTTTTTTTTCAGAGTAAAATATTATGTAAACCAGGCGAATGATATGAAAAATTCCTCTGTAATAGCCTTCAAATCATATAATAACACTGTAAAGTTAAGTGTACGAAAGTGTTAATGAAGTGGAGATTTCTGACTTAGTGCAGGAGAAAAAAACACCTTTAACGCTATATTTAAATCTACAGACTCAAATAGATAAAGTGTAATAAAATAAAGATATAGATGTTTTTTCCTTGGTCTGAAAAAATACATTTTATGGAAGCAAAATTGACCAGTGCATGAAAAAAAACAATGTTTTGCTTGTAGAAACTTGCCATAGATGTGCTTCCAGCAAAAAGCTTAAGTTTGAATTTTCTCATATTATTGTTCACTAGAGGGAGGTGAGCAGATGCCTTCACAAAATTTTGGACAGAGAAGAAACAGCCTGGAAGGAAGGAGAACTTCCACAGCTGAGAGACCAGGTGTACTGCTGTGATCAGGCCATTGATGTCATCCAGGTAATGAAAAAGAGGAAAAAGCAACCATTCTTTCCCTTCAGCAAATAAGGAAGGAAAACATCATTTTTTTTTCTTTTCCCCCTTTTCCTAGTGCTTTCATAAACATGTCGAGTGTGCTCAAAAGGTGCTAGGCGATGAGACAAAAGCACAGACGATCACATGCCAGATGAGACATTTTCTGACAGAGTAAGCTTTTTAAACTCATTCATTTTATATTCATTTCTCAAAATACCAATAACATCCTTTTTGACCATTCTTGCTTTAAGTCTGTACTGCTAAATATTTTACACAAATTATTATAATTAATTAGATTTCCATTCCTACAGTTACAAAGCATTTCATGCAAAGGTCATGAAGAGCAAGCAGACCAACACTGAGGCTGTTTTGATGGTCAACTTCTCATGCCTCATACAGTGCAGGTGGGTGTCACTTTTATTCAGCGTACTTGATTCATATAAACATTTTTCAATTCATGTTAAAAGTGTCAACATCCCCCCCTCCCACAGGGACTACTTTACAAAGAAAGCACATCTGTTCCCTGAAGATGTCAAAACTGATTGTCTCTCTTTATTGGCTACCATGATAAAAGGCAGCCACCACCACTTCACTTCTAATATGCTTAAGGAACTTAAGGTAAAAACTAAATGTAGTTTCTTTCATTGTTATGTAATAAAAAATGTTTTTATTGTTTGCCAATGTTCTGTCAAACTTTTAGCATATGAGCTGTGAATGTTGATGTTCAATTTTAGGATGTAGTATATCTTACAACATCTGAGCATGAGAAAAGTAAAAGATAAAAGTACTAAAATTGTAATAAAAGTACTAAAATTCATGAAATTCACTTTAAAGGACAATATTAGGTAGAAATAGCTTCTGGGCCATTTTCGGGAAATGGTGGAATTTTTTACTAGAAAATGTAATTTTTTATATATAATTAGTATGTGTATAATATATAACCACATATACACTACTGTTAAAAAGATTGGGGTCGCACAGTTGTGTTTTCAGGATTCTTTCATGAATGGGAAGTTCAAAAGAACAGCATTTATTTGAAATAATGTGTAAAATTATAATTGACTTTACTTTCAATTTTGATCAATTTAGTTCATCCTTACTGAATAAAAAATATTAATTTATTTTTTAAAAATCCAAACTTAAAAACAGTAGTAAATATAAAAATATGTATATATTTTATTTGAAAAAGTAATTATTACTGAATGTTCAAGAAATCATATTTTCACACCTCTGGCCCCAGGTATGTATATGTATTTTAATATTTATATATTTAATACATGTAATTCAAATAGATAACAGTTTTCCACTAGCTTTATCAAAACACTCCTATTTAATTATGGATATAAATAAACCAGATCCTACTCTAGACCAACACAATATATTTTCCTTGTTTTCAAAAACCCTAATTCTGTCAGGACCACTATCGTCAAAATGATAGATACTTAGCATAAAGTTTGGTTTGGCGGTATGGTTCTGTTCTGGGCCAAAATCCTCCCTGCCCATCCATGCAGCCTGTCATGAATGAGCAGGGAGAGCAGCAATAATAGCCCCCCCCCCCAGGGTTAACAGAACAGAACAAGGCAGATATCATTAATGTACTCAATGATATTTAAGTGTAACACTTTATTCAAGATAAAGGAGTCTGATTAGCAAGGAATATCAGAAAGCCAAGTCCTGACTGTGGCGAAAGGTGGAGCTGGGGATGGAGGAGGGTAATTTGCTCCGAACCAAGCCGAAATGCTGCTGAATAATACTGAATACAGCTTATATAGGAATGCCGCGATAGGTGTCGTATTCCTATAGGTAGATGTGATCAGCTGATGCAAGCTTGACTCACGTGACCTGCCAGAACTAACGCTAAAGCTTAATTTGAGGTGATTTGTCTTGGCAGTGAACACACTCATGTGAGCAGCTGGCTGCCGCCTCCTGATTATTCCAGTCTATATAAAAAGCCAAACTATTACCTTTTATTAACTGCTTGTCTAGTTTATATGAAAGGACTATATAAATGGTGGCTTGAGCAGGTCCAGATCATGACCAGATCCTGCATCTCAATGCAATTCATATGCATTCAAATAACCAAGTGTCAATGTATGTGTTTATGCAGGACTTGTACATGAAGGTGGGTTCCAGCGAGTGGCTCAAGGACAGTGAGGGTGTATGTGAAGAGCTGCTTACAAAGCTGGACAGACATATTCAGAAATTCAACAATTTGGACAAAATGTGTTGCCAGGTATAAACATATAAGTCAAACAAAAAGACTGATTTGCTGAGTATTTTTTGGTTCATTTCAGATTGACTAATTGATTGATTGATTTGATTGATTGATATGATGACTAGGAGCTGCTTGGTGGAATGCATAAGAAGTTTCTAGCTGAATATGTCCGGAAAATGATGAAGCAAAAGATCAAACTTTCAAATAAAACACAGCAACAGATGGCAGCATCATCACTCTGCATAAACAGTGAACGTATACATACATACTTCACTGCAGCTGTAAGTACACTCGTCCTACTTAAAGGTCATTGTTTTGTTCCGAGTTTCACAATTTGAGTTGAATTACTGAAATAAATGTACTTTTCCACGACATTCTAATTTATTGAGATGCACCTGTACTGTCTTTTATCCCAGTTTAATATGCAAAAATGCACAAATAATTTCTTAGGAAACCAATTTAATGATTACTTTAAAGACATTGTCTAATTTTTAAATCCTCATTAATTCATTATCACAGGGATCAAATATGGATTGGTTGAAAGACATTCTTCCCAATTTAGCGGGTCTGCTAAAGCTACAAGATCCAAACACTATAAAGTTAGAGCTGGCAAGTCTGATGAAGCTTTACCCTGATCTCAGGTATGGTGGTTTCTGCTGTGCAATTATTCATGCAAAACGACCATTGCACTTTTCTCATGTCTGTGTTCTTGTTACAGTGAGCGTCATATTTCTGCTTGGCTGAGACTTAAGGGAAATCTTTCTCCATCAGACCTCAAGAAGATCCTGGAGAGCATCACTTGCAGCCAGGATCAGCTCAGGGACACACAGGACTCACTCCAGTTTGGCAAAAGCTTCTTTTCTATAGTGAGGGTCAAATGAATTTTGCTTCATAATATTGCTTGTGTATATTTGCTTGCTTTTGTAGAACTGCTTGTGCTTAATCATTTTGTACATACTGAAATTCTTTGTTAATAAAATTGCAAATCACCATTTTTAAATTTTGTGTTGTTCCTTAAAAATGTGTCTTTGTTTTTACTCTCCAGTTTACTATTGTAATGTGGATTATGAAAAATAAACCTCAGAGAATTTATGGTAACTGTGTTATTAGCATCAAAGAATTCCAGTACACACATCTTAATAGTTTCTTTGACTAAATGTACTTTTCCACGACATTCTAATTTATTGAGATGCACCTGTACTGTCTTTTATCCCAGTTTAATATGCAAAAATGCACAAATAATTTCTTAGGAAACCAATTTAATGATTACTTTAAAGGCATTGTCTAATTTTTAAATCCTCATTAATTCATTATCACAGGGATCAAATATGGATTGGTTGAAAGACATTCTTCCCAATTTAGCGGGTCTGCTAAAGCTACAAGATTCAAACACTATAAAGTTAGAGCTGGCAAGTCTGATGAAGCTTTACCCTGATCTCAGGTATGGTGGTTTCTGCTGTGCAATTATTCATGCAAAACGACCATTGCACTTTTCTCATGTCTGTGTTCTTGTTACAGTGAGCGTCATATTTCTGCTTGGCTGAGACTCAAGGGAAATCTTTCTCCATCAGACCTCAAGAAGATCCTGGAGAGCATCACTTGCAGCCAGGATCAGCTCAGGGACACACAGGACTCACTCCAGTTTGGCAAAAGCTTCTTTTCTATAGTGAGGGTCAAATGAATTTTGCTTCATAATATTGCTTGTGTATATTTGCTTGCTTTTGTAGAACTGCTTTGTGTGGTGATTACTGGAGGGAAGGGAATACCTGTAACAGACGTCTGCAAACAGGATATGGTGTGATAGGTTCAAGTAGTGTGGAAGTAACAGTTCGGAAACACACCCGCTGTCACAATACATGTGTAGTTCCTGAAAGAGTTTGTTAATAAAGATTTCCCAACAAGTTGTATCCTCTACAGGAACACAGGATGTAGTGGTAGTGTACATTTTTACACCTACTTCCTATCCTTGAAAAATAGCTCAATCTGCCATACAGACACACAATGCAAATGCATTTCACATGCAATGCATTCCAGCAGATCGAGACAACCAAGCATCAATACTGTAAAAAAAGAGGTAATTTATGTCTTTATTGAGGTACCAAAGGCACTTGTTATACACTTAAAGTTACTTGTTATATAGTACCACTGACTCATGTATGATAAAATAATCTTGCATAAAAGAAACACTGTGTCCTATTTTCAAATAGGAATAAAAAAAGAATACAACCAATATAAATATTAAATAATATAACAATAATTTAAGAAATAGCTGGACATGTTAAATAATATAACAATAATTTAAGAAATAGCTGGACATGTTTTTACAATCCTCACTGATAAAAATGATTTTATGGTGAAGTAAATACTGTGGAAAAACACATTTTAATTTAGTTCAGGCAAGAATTTTTAATATATATACAGTAAATTCTATATTAGTATTCAATTGAAGCTTGTAGAAATTAAAATTTGAACATAAGTATATTTTACTTGGAATTGTTTGTTATGTTTACAAAGTAAATATCAAAGTTATGATCCCATTGTTCCCATCATGCACTAGGGCATGGGTAATAAATGTTAAATTTTTCACTGTTTTCGAGTTCTATTTACACTGTTTTCTAGTTGCTTTTGTTGTTAGGTTTAGTAACAGTAAGGACAACAAGCTGTTTACTTGCTTGCTTACATGTTTGTAAGTGAACCACATGCTTTAATAGCATAGTTTTGTTCAGTGCTACATTGTTCGAGTAAACTTTTCAAACCATGATTGAGTGGAATACTTGAGTATTGCAGTATTGCAATAATTAAGTACAAATAACTCAAACTCTTAACTGGCCACGTTAAATGTACTTATTTCCTTTGCGAATTTTACATAACTTAGTTAAGTAGATTCCATACTTTAAAATATGTGTGCAAAATTTGTAAAAGAAAAATTAAGTACATTTTACTTATTGTTTTTAATATAAATATAGCAGTCAAAATGAATTATACTATCATAGAAAATACATACCAAAAATGGTAATTAATTTTTCTCCAGCGGTCCGATAGACACATTATTTCCTATATTCAAGTAAAATCAAAAGGTACAAAAAAATATTGTATCTGATGAAAATATGAATGTACCTGTATAAACAACTAATGTTTATGACCGAATGTCACAAAACAGTCATGTCATCAATTTAAACTTGTAAACAAAGGTTATACAATTCTAGCTGATGGTGTTATTTATATCAAAGACAACAGCAAAGTCCCTTTAGAGGATGACAGGTGACACGTCTAGGCTTTAGATCCAGGCCGAAGTCCCGGCTCACATCCAGCACTTCCCTCACCTGTCGCTTTGATAACACCCTCTTCCAGCACAGCAGACCAGGTACATACTGCTCACTGCAAAACAATCAGAGGACGACTTCACTGCCTGATGAAAACAAAATAATAAAACCAGACTTGTAATCATGTGTACAAAGTGCATACTAAGTTAAATGTCATTGGCTAAGTTTACCTCTCCTGAGGGAAATCCCTGAACAAATCACAACAGGTAATCTTCAGTGCATCTACATCACTGCGAAGCAAAACTTCACTCATTCTCTGAAGGAGATGGTTCCTCTGGTCATCAATGCCATTCTGTAAAACAGATACATTGTCTATGAAAATACTGCATTGCATTGATGCTGTGGCTAATGTTAGACGAGTCATACTCTGGGGAATTCATTTTCACTGACACAGTTCTTTTTAATTAATTCTGAAAACATTGTATGGCCATTTTAGTTGGCATTGCATCACTTGCTTTAAAAAGCAATGGCAGAAATCAGTTCCTTCAACCTATGTTGTTTTCATTCATGTAACAGTTATAAATGGAAACCATTCTCTGACTTGAACAGGAGACCAACATGCAGTACAGTTTTAAAACATAAAGGTTCTTTATTGGCATCTATGGTTGCTATTGGAAGCTTTCAAGGTTCTTTATAGTGTAAAAAAGATTATTTAGATCATTAAGAATTTCTTCACACTTAGGAAAAAATGGTTCTTTTACAAACTGTTTATTGAAAGGTTCTTTGGGGAGCCAAAAATGTTTCTTCTATGGCATCAATTTGAAAATCCCCTTTTGTAACCTTTCTTTTTATGAGTGTAATTTAATTGAATGTTATAGAGTTATTTTTCACCAGTTCAGTAAATGTGTTGTGAAATCTGAGAGCGTCATCTCTCATCCTTTCTCCGACATTTCCCCATCTCCTCTCTAGCTGCCTGAACTTGCTCTTCATCAGGCAATCCAGATATACGCGTGAAATGCAGTCATAGGCCACATTCACAAAGATCTGTAGGGTAGAGGAGCAGAGAATAAGTGTAAAAAGTCATGTAAAGCTAAAATTCTGTTTTTGAATAATACATTTGACTGGATATTTGAGCACAGGACCAACCTCCTGAATCTCTTTTCCCACATCAGTCTGAGGCAGAGATGCACACCGCTTTTGAATTGCCTCTGTCAGCATTTGAATTTGCTCACCTTCTTTTTTGAAATACTTTCTTAAATAGTCCTAGAAATGAACATTTACAAAGAAACTATTTAATTTCAAGCTTTTCCTGAATTCGATCTATTGCAAAAATGAACATAACTACAAAATCCTGAGTGCGTAAAAACAATGTGTCTTTATTGTTTATGTGAGTGAAGTGACATGTGGCCAAGTATGGTGTCTCATACTTGGAATTAGTGCTCTGCATTTAACCCATCCAAAATGCACACACACAGCAGTGAACACACACACACAGTTAACACACTCCAGGAGCAGTGGGCAGCCATTTTTGCTGCGGCGCCCGGGGAGCAGTTGGGGGTCCGGTGCCTTGCTCAAGGGCACCTCAGTCGTGGTATTGAAGGTGGAAGAGAGCACTGTACATTCACTCCCCCCACCTACAATCCCTGCCGGTACGAGACTTAAACCCGCAAACTTTGGGTTACGAGTCCAACTCTCTAACCATTAGGCCACGACTTCCCATACTAACTAATATTTCATAGGGCTTTATTAGTTCATGCTTAGTTATCATGAACAATAAACAACAATTTTCCATAATTAACACTCTAGGTTTTAAAAGTATTGTTCATTGTTAGTTCATAATACCTAACTCATTAACTAAACAAACTGAACCTTATTATAAAGTGTTGCCACTTCATTGTTGAAAAACCTGACAGACAGGTATGCAAACTGTATGCAAATGTCTGGGACATTCCCTTTTTAGGAATTTGGGAAATCCCTCAACTTTCCTTCTGTACATAAACTGTTGATGATGAAATGATGTTACCTGTGCTAAGTGTTTCATCCTCTTCTGTACAATTGAGAGAACGTGATCCTCCAGCTCCTCTAACATACCGATGATGTTCGAGAGGTCGTTACTGTTGTTTATATCCAGATTGTTGAGTTGATCAGCAAAAGATCTACAGCAAAATAAATACATGCATAAGACTGTTTTTATGGCAGAACTACAGCATTGTGGTTGCCCGTATATGAACCTAATGCAGGATGAATCAGAACATTATGCATAAGGAAATGCCAGTTAATTATACACTGGCAAGTTTTGAGTCATTTATACATGTATAAATATATTAATCATAAAAAATAGAAGTCACCTGAGTTGCCTACTGGTGCTGATGAGTCGAAACAGATGCACATATTTTGAGTTCAGAGGTTTCTGTTTTCCAAGACATTTATTCTCTGCATGCACATACCTAGAAAAACACATAGGAATTAAAGTAATTATTTTTATGAAGACAAAAATACACAAATATGTATTTCAACAAATAGTTTGATAATATGAAGACATTTTAGACACTTACTCCTGAACAAAATGATGAAGCTCTTTAAGGCAGAGCGTTTGTGCTGTACACATCAGGGTGTTACTAAATTCTTTAGAATTGTGAATAACAGCATTCAGACACTGTAAAGGAATAACAACATACAATAAGTGTGCAATACATCATATTTAAAAACCATTAAAAATCACCCCATATCTCACTGAGAAACAAATGAGCATTGCACACTGTTTTCTTTACCTGGGTGACATCTAAGTGAACTCTGATGAAAGTTTCTTCATCCATTGAGTCCTCATGATGTCCATGTTCCTCATCATAGTGCAGGATGTTCTGTAGAGTTGTGGAGATGTCATTCTGTGGCAGTTAAAGTGGGACAGAGACAAGTTTTATGTCCTTCCTTTTTTGATTTTGGGTGCTCCTTTTTAGCCTATACACTGATAATACTTTTAACAAATAAAGATGGAGCATATCAAGACCTGCAGTTTTGGCAGCAGCTTCCTTGTTGCTCTCTCAAACCAATCTGTCAACAGCAGAGGGTCGTACACTCTGAAGAAATGCTGTGAGTCTGGACTGAAACATAAATTAGTTCATATATTTGTCGACAGTTCTTGCTTTATTTGTTCATTACACATACATTTACAGAAAAGTACACAACGATCAACTTCATACCTGAAGAAAACATCTTTTCCCCACAGTAGAAGGCTGAAGATTTCATTCGCTGAAAGATCTTTTTTTAGGAGCAGGTCCAGGTTGGTAAAGAGGTGACGGCTGTAACTGTCCATCAGATGAACTAGCAGTCCAGCATCTTTCAGTAAAGGTGTTAGTCGACACACCTCATCGTATAGCATGCTCTGTGTGCTGTTTAGAAAGTCCTGCATCTGCTCTTGAGATCCTTGTGGTCCCTCTGCTGGCAGTGCGGGAAAGTGGTTCTCCACAAACTGATCTATTTCCTGAAGGTACTCACAAAGCCAGTCTTGAGAGTAGCTGTTGTTCAGTTTGCTCCATGTTTTCAACACCTCAACTGCAGTGTCAAAGTCCTCAGGGGTTGATTGATCCCTCAGAATCATTCGGAGAATATTAAGCACTCTCTTGTTACTCACTTCAACATCTAGAGCAATGAGATCAGGAACTCTGGACTGCTGTGAACTGTATTCAGATGTCTGTTCCCCTGTTAAAAAGGAATAGAAAATGTAATGCCAAGTTCATTCAAATTTATTTTTTTTTGTAATGAAAATGTAAACATTTTCAAGTAAAATAGGCTTCTAAAAATAAATATAATCAAAACCTTGCTTAAAAACCTGTTGCACACAATCTACTACATGCCTTCTGATCTGATTGATACTTTACACTTTTTTTAGGAAGTAAAAGGCCTTTTAGTATAATCGTAAAAACGTCCACCTTCAGGTCATGGTGCATGTATATTTTGAAATCTTAGAAAGTAAACGTAAGAATGTTGTTAGTAATATTTAAGATGAACACTTACTGGACTGAAGCATCTTAGGTTTCATCGATTATCCTTTTTTTTTAAAATCATGTTTAAATGCATATCAAATATTACACATAAGGCTTTTGAGAAATATTTATTGGTTCATTTCTCAACAATCATTGTATTGCATTGCATTATGTTTTGCCCCCACAATAAAAACTACAGAGCTTTGATAATAAAACTAAGCATTTAAATATAATTTTATATTATTGGAAGATACAGAGTGACAACTGATATTTATATGCTTTTTATGTTAGTGGGCATATAAATTTTCAATAAACTGTTCCATTTTTTTTTATGTAATTGTTCTGACTATTATTTCAAATGTCAGTCTTTACAGGGGTAATTGTTTCCAATTCACTTGTATTTTCACTTTGATCGGATCACCAAAAATTTGTAGACAGGTGTGAAAAAGAGGATTTAGGACACAGTTAATAAATTAACATCAGATTTGAATGCTTGACATTCTCCATAGCTTACTTTTACTGCCCTCTGACCTCAAGCTATTTACAACAAAAAAGTCCCTTCAGAGGAAAACAGGTGACATGTGTAGGATCTGGATTTGGGCAGGGTTCCCGGATCTCATCCAGCACTTCCCTCACCTGTCGCTCTGAAAACACCCTCTTCCAGCGCAGCAGACCAGGTACATACTGCTCACTGCAAAACAATCAGAAGAAGACTTCACTGCACTGTCTGAAGAAAACAAAATCACTCATTCTCTGTTTGAATACTCTCACAATGAAAACAGCTGCATTTAATCACATGTAAATACATGTTTGCATTTGTAGTGAAGCGTTAATTGTTGATCTGGGTTTACCTCTCCTGAGGGAAGTCTTTGAACAAAGCATTGGTAACTTCCTTCCCCCATTCTGTACTGTATGTGGAACAATCATGCTGAATATTTCTAATGGTCAAGTGCATCAGGAAATCAGCCCTTAAAAACAAAAGTTATTTTATTAAAAATAAATATAATTTTTTTCACCAGTTCAGAGAATGTTTTCTGATTCGGAATACCAGTTTATGGACATTTTACACACATATTCCATAAAGTACAGTAGTATATCAAATCATTTGGTTATATCTTTCATAACATAGGCCTAGTTGAGAATCATCTTTGTACAAAGTTTGGTTAAAAATAGCCTGAAACCTAAAAACTGATTGGTGATCTTCTACAAAGTACATAGAATAAAATATATATATATTTTTAAAACTAATGACATGAAAAAAAAAAGCATAACACTTTTTTTCTGGTTCTCAGGAGTAATAAGCTGTACCTCTATTCAAAAGTCTCTTTTAGAGGACATTGCATTTTGTTTGATGCAAAAAGCCTAAACTAGGCTAACTTACATAACCTATAACTCTCCATTGCGCAGTATGAGTTGCATCAGACGAACGGAAACCGAAATAAATAGTGATTATGTGGTACAGTGATGATTGACGTTAAAAGGAGCCAATCAACGTTATGAAATTGAAAACCGGAAGTAGTTATAGCCAATGAATAGCCGCGGTGGGCGGGGCGGTGTGGCTTCCAGCGAGGTGCACGCCCATCATCAGCGCCGACTGCTCATTCTGCCATTGCGAGGAGCAAAGAAGGTTCTGGGAAGGTAAGACGTGACCTGAACCAATATTAAAACACTACCTGCTGATTAATTAACACGTCTCAGACATATCTGTAGTGTTTGAGTCTACCAAATGCCAAAGCAGTCGTTTAAAAAGCAGTTTTGTTTTCTTATCATAGCTTAACAAGCATCACAGCAAGGGTGTTGCCAGGTTACAGTTGACACATATAACCCTCTTCTTCTAATCCAGCTTCTCCCCGGAGATCTGACGTCCCTCGCCTGCTCGATCGGCTGCATCGCTCAGCACTCCCAGGTCTAATCTGTCTTTACCGTTGTGTCGTGTTACATTCTTTGGATCACGACCCAACATCTCCAGGCTCTCCGCTGTCAACCCTTCACTGCGTCGGTGGACGACTAGCGTTGTGTTTATGTCTTTATTTTACGAAAACGGTGAGTATCCGACCGGTCATGTGCATAAACCGATTTGTCCACATCTATTACACATCTGTGAATGCGTTTTGGATAGCCGAGTGTGGGAAACGAGTGTTCTGGAGGCTTTTATAACTAGCTAATGGGTGTGAACTAGCTTGACGGAGGGGAACAAAATGGCGCCGCGCGCTGACCGTGACGCACTCTGCACCAGCGCGACCGCCGCACAACATTACGAGCCTGAGGTTTGCTGAAACAAATATACGTCTACTCGGGCTGTGCTTTTATCGCTTACGGTAGTAAGGGCTGTCCGACGTGTTTATTTCGATGTAAAAATAGCGGAGTGGGATGAGCTCGAGCGGGTAATTATCCGTGTGTAAGTTATATCGACTTTGGGTGCAATACGGGTGACTCGACATTACACTGTACTAGCTGCGTCGATATCATTTCTAAACCAATCATAAAACGCCTTTAAAATACGCCGACGTGGTTTCTGGACGTTTCAAGTTCCCTTAACGGTTTCTGTAAACAACTCGACCAACCGATGGACACGCGCTTGATACTACATGATCGTAATCTTACATTAGTTTGATTTTGGAGAGCTTGTTCCGTCAAGTCACTCCTAGCTTTAATGAGTCCTCAGCGCGTGCTCATTTGGCTCGAGTCGCGCTTGAAGCTGCTGAACGATTGTATTTATTATTATTTTTTAATTCACGACCAGAGGTTTGTATGCCTTTAAAAACGGATGGCAGAGAGAATGTTAGAAATAATTTGTGGATTTAAAAAAAAAATCTTAGTTCACACTTGTAGTTCGGTTCGTTTGGTCCGGACCAAAAAAGAAAACGATACATGTGGTCCTGGTCCGCTTAGCGTTCACACTGGTATTTTTGACCTAACTTAAAGAAACCGAACCTAAAGGCGTAGTGATACGTTCGTATATTTCGCAACGGAACTCCCCGAACACCTCAAACAGAAGCTGTGTTAGACTTAAAGCGGCGCTGCGCAGACCAATCGGTGTATGACCGAATGGTCTGCGCAGCGCCCACAGAGGTGTCCAATCCGGCGCGCAGGATGATTTAAACAATATTATAAAATAATAAAACATAATTTTGAAAATTAAATAAAGTGTATTCGTTACAATATTTTACTTTGAATTTAAAGCGGAACAAGTGGCTCATTTATTTACGTTGATATTACGATTCGGGACACCTAACATGCGCGTTTTAAAGCGGCGCCAGAATCTCGAGCAGCACGAGGATAATGTGATGATAGCTGCGTTGTAACTGATGCTTGTGGGGAAATTTTCTGGTGATTTTAAACATGTCCAAAAGAAGAAATTTGACCTGGAAGGGCGGACAGGCTATTTAAGGAGAAATTGTAAATGAGACCGTAAATTTTTTGTGTACTAATATCCTAACTGTTGTTTTAATGATGTGCGAGCTGACATTTTGTAACTTTACAAAAAAACAAACAAACACATCGTGAGAGTTTTTCAGTGCCGGATGAAGGCTATCAGTTTACAATATAATTCAATATATGGAAGCAAAAATAAAATGCCCTGTAAGAAATGTAGTTTTTAATATTTATGTCGTGATAGTTAAGTAATGTCTAACTATATCAAGAGTGTTGCTTTCCCGAATGTCAGCGCGATCGCAAATTAATTGATTTTATATAACAGCTCAACAAACAAGATGCTAGTATTAAGTGTGTTATTAGTCACAATGCTGTCTGTTTATCTCTGTTTTGGCAAGAAAAAGTTTTTAACAAAGCCTAAGTAAGACCAATTGTGTGTCTCCAAGGCAGCACTGTGTATTTTGTTACTGAATTAATCTGTTTTTGAACAAATTATTTGAGTCAATGATGCAGTGGCCCATTCATAAAGACAATCACTAACTTAGTTTCTAAATGAATCAGCCGTTTTGAATGAATGAGTCAATGGATCACTCATTAAGACGGAGACTTGCTGCCACCTACTGGCGGCTTTAGTGTCATTTATTTATCCATTACAGGCTTAAACCAACCAAGGTGCTATCTCAAAAACACACTCTGCAAAATATGGTAATTATCACTATCAAAAAAAAAAAAGACATTGTGTCAATATTGCACACCCCTAAAATAACCAAGCATAATCTTTAAAAAAAAAAAAAGTTGTCCTAGATTTTTTTTATTTTATTATATTGTAGTTTGTATGGTTAATATTAATGTAATTGTGAGCAAACTAGGGTTTAACAAAAGGTAATTCATTTTCTCCGATCCGGCCCTCAACCTTAAATGAGTTTGACACCCCTGGTGTATGACATCAAAGCACTCATTTACCGATCGGTCTGCGCTCGGCGCCGCTTTAAGTCGAACACGCCTAATGCCGTCTGCTCATTGCTGCGTGTTCTTATGATTTTATTTTCACCATCTGCAAACCCAGGAAGAGCTCATAAAAGGCACTTCATCTCCTCATTGCTCCACGTTTGCCCTCTGCTCATTTTATTTTGGTTACACCGCTCATTCCACGTCGTCAAATCATGTCGCATCTTGCCATTACTTCCTGTTTTTGGTTCGTTTATAAGTATTTGGTCCGTGTTGTGTTACTGTTACCATA